GTTCACCGAAAAAAAGTCAAACTGTGGCCTCTCGCGACCAAACCGTGGGGCCGAGCGGCGCTAAAATGGCCTCAAAACGTAGCTGCGGGTGTCCTCTTTCAGCCGATGTGCCCGCTTTTGACCTCGACCTTACGGTTTTCCGGCAATCGGGCCCAGAGTCCAGACTTTCCCGACCCTCTCTAATAGGATTTGAGATTTGAGATTTTTTTCGTCAGAGACAAAACGGCCCTCATTTTGAAATATCCCCAAAAAAAAAACCGCTGGGAGCAGGCGAAAAATAAACAGACGTGCTGAGACCTGAAATTCTCGGCCCGCTCACGGTCATAGAAATTTTTCAGTTTTGTGATATAGTTTTCGAACAGCCGTTCAGAGGCAACTTTTGATCAAAACTGTCAGTTGTGTGTGTCAGAGCTACGGCTTACTGATGAGTCACAGGTGTGGGAGTTGAGACTTTGGCCTGGCTGCTGTCGCCGTGGCGATCAGCAGAGACCCACAGCCTCTGGGTCCCTGCCTCTTCCTCCCCTGTCTTATTATCCTCCTCCTCCTCCCCGTTTCCTGTCTTCCTCCTTTCTTCTCTCCTCCTCTTCCTGGTTAGCCTATTTATTTCATTAGAAGGGCCAACTGACATTCCGAGACTTCTCATCAAAACTTCACCACAAACTCCTGCCCACCATTCGAAAACTATAAGAGATATCTGAAAAATTCTCAAACCGTGAGTGCAACGAAGAATGTAGGGCCTAGCCAGTGTATTTACTTTTTGGCTGCCTTCACCAGTTTATTTTTATGACAGTTTCCATATTAGGTCCATTTAGGCAGTTGATGATATTTTCTCACTTTTCCTCCATTGTATCTCAATGGGAGCCCGTTGAGACAGTCTGGACTCTGGGTCCGATTGCGGGAAAACCGTAGGGCTGAGGTCAAAGGCGTTTACACTATCTCAAAGAGGACACCCGCGGCTACGTTTTGAGGCCTCTTTGGTCCCACTCGGCCCCACGGTTTTGGTAATGAGAGGCGGGAGTCTGATTTTTTTTGTAAATATCCCCACATGAAAGTTACAACCTGTGATGATGGGCGTCCTCCTGGTACTGGTCCTACTCCTGGGACTCCTCTGGGTCCCTGCTTCCTCCCCCTTTCTTCTCTCCTCCTCCTCCCCTTGTCCTCTGATCCTCCCTTCTCTTCCTCCACCTCCTTGTCCAGCTCCTGTCCTCCCCCTATCCTATCTCCTCCTCCTGGTCTTC